GTTAAATGAGTAATCAGTGTATAAGCATACGAGTATGTTCATAGGTTTCAATTATTATAAAACACACCACGAAAAGTCATTAATCAAAAGTTAGTCCAAAAATGTATAATCTTTTAAAAGAAATTCTTCACCTTATTTTTTTATCACTAGCTTTTGCTAGTGATAAAAAAATAAGGTGAAGAATTTCTTTTAGGTTCTTCATGCAAAGCAAAATTATATATGACGATATTTCACTAGTCTTTTTGGTTTGTTGTACATTCTAATGGCGGTGTAAAAGTGTAATCAATATATATTTCATAAGTTGCAAACATTTTCTAATAAATCTGTTTTACTATCGTACTGGAACATTTTCTTTCCCTGATATTAAAATTAACAAGTAAACTTATTAAAAATCCAGTGTAATTAATTGAGACTCAGACTTAAGATATTGTGTCTATACAGGGTGACTGATATAAGTGTACCAGCTGTTTTATTCGAAAACTATAAGAGAAATCAACAAAATTTAAATGGTAAGTGCCTTGGATTTCTTATTTAAAAAATCGTAGTCAATTCGAAAAAAAATATTTTAGCCACCATTTTTCCAATATGGCCGCCAACTATGATTTTTCTTATTGAACACCCTGTATTTTATGTATGTATTCCAATAGAAAATTAATTTTAAGACAATTTTACACTTGTTTTTTTCATAAACCTAACCGTTTCAAAGATAATAATGGTTAAAGTTTTGAACAATTTTGTTTTCGATAAAGGCCTATGGCAAGCTGCCAGCTGATTTATTCGAAAACGTTTCGAAATTTAACAACTTTAAACATTATTATCTTTGAAACGGTTAGATTTATGAAAAAAGACACAAGGGTAAAATTGACATAAACTTACATTTTCTATCGGAATACATAACAAAATACAGGGGGTTCCATAAGAAAAATCAAAGTTGGCGGCTATATTGGAAAACAGCTGCTAAAATATTTTTGTCGACTTGACTACAAACTTTTAATTAAAAAATCCAAGGCACTTGCCATTTAAATTTTTTTGATATCTCTTATAGTTTTTGAATAAAACAGCCGGCACACTTAAATCAATCACCCTGTATACAAAATGACATCCTGCCAGAGTGCAAATGGTTGAGGAAATAAATATTCTAATGGGACAGTGATAAATTGAAACTGTTCCATCATAAATCAAACTGAATATTATTATGTTTAACCAAAGTGCAGTGCAGTTCAACAGGCTTTTACTTAATGACTTTTAATAGAAAAATAAGTGTGCAATTTAATCTAACAATATTGATTTTATATGTGATATCTTTTTTTGTGTTTGAATCTTCAAGTATCTTGGAACAAAGACCTTCCCCCCAAATAAGATGAGAAAAGGGAGTAGGTGTAAACTTGGGACCAATTATCAACTTGTGATGTTCACACCTGCAGATCCGACTTAACCAACTTGCCAAGTTTACTCATTTACTCGCCCTACCTACTTGGAAGTTCTCGGTTCACAAAGTTTGTATTAAACTGCAAATTATTAACACGTGTTAACGTTTTTGCCACAAAAATGTGATGAAATCTCAAATAGTATAACCAATATGGGATGGTGTTGTATGTTTTATTTTGATTAAAAAGTTATACAAGAACAAAGTAGAAAATACCTTCAAATAGCTTATAAAACTATCCCAAATAATCTTTTTTCTGGTTAATTTAGAATAGTTTACTGGAAATAATAAAAAAATCAAGATATACAATGCATATTACTACGGAGAGATTTTCAATATCAACAGCAACTCTGAAGTTTTACTAAAGGATAATCTACGTTTTTAAAACAAATTAAATTACAACTAATTAAGCAAGTAGCTCAATTTGGATGATATTATTTAATCTAATGCACAGTGCGAAGAATTTTTGCAACGGAACTGGTAACAAAAAGCAGTCCAGACGGTCGTTGTGGATATCAAAACGAGACAGAACACTTAAGTATTTATGAAGTGGTGCAATTTTGTCTTGCTACTAACACTATTTTGCTGAAGTTAGAATGCAAATATTTGTTTACATATGAACAGTAAGGGTAGAATGTCTTTTTGGGACAAGTCCAATAGACTCTGCAGATAAAGGTGTTTTTATAGAATCAAAGAAACTTACTTCGTCTTTGTTTTGCAAATTTAAAACATTTTAAAGTCACACATTTAGCTTTTTTAATATGAAATGAGCCAGTCAGTAGTGTTTATTAAATATTTATAGTAAGAAATTCGGGTGAGTATTAATTTTTTTTCGTACATTGTTTGCATACTTAGTTTATTTAATAGAAATATAAAGTGTATTCTTCTATTTTTATGGAAATATTGGACTATGAGGAATTAATAATACTATTTGGTTTTTTACTAATTTTCAATTAGCTTACCTAAAAGAGATGGGTGGTGGATAAACTTCCATTACATTTTATAAGAGGAACGTCGCTTTATTCACAAAGTATCATTACAACATTTTCTTAAATATATTTACATTTTCAATTAATAACTTTACATTTATACAAATAGAGGAACGATTTGGAGTCGGAATGATAAGGTTAATGGATATTTACATATTTATTTACTATAAACAAAATACTTCATTAATGTATTGAGACATTTATCAAACTGCAAAATATTTAAAACCTTGGTAAAATCATAAATATTGCATGCGATAATTTATAAGTTATGATTATCATTATGAAAAATCTCAACGACTCCACATGAAAACAATATAACACTGTAAAATATTGGTTTTAATCTTAGAGTACAATGAGGTAAAAGCTATTTAAAGTTATTCAAAATTAGACCTAATAGATAGGTCGTATACACTGGTTTACAATTATTGAAAATATAGAAACGAAATAACAAGGAATAGGCCAGATATTTTTAAAATGTTAACGCTACACAAAATGAAAATTAAACACAATTGTTTGTTAATATACAGGGTGTCCATAAAAAATTATCAAGACTTAAGGATATGCATCCTTTAAAGGAAGAAATACATTGTGTGAAGGTATGTCCGAAAATGCATATTTACCACCATTTTGTTTTTATACATAACTAATTTTATCTTTGAAGTTTTCTACCAATAATTATGAAACTTAGTAAGCATGTTCTTGTTTGGAATGATTTGTTACAATTTTAATTTGTTACAATTAATTATGCATTTAATTTATTTACATTTTTAGTTGAAGTTAAAGTAATATATAATATTGTTATTTATTCCAATAGTTTATTTATTATTGTTACTGTTGCATTTTTACAGATATTTGTGTCTTTGTTATCTTTTTTTGTTATTAATTACTCAAGAGACAATTAAGAACTCATAAAACTGCATGCTACTGATTCAAACTGGCAAAACTGTATGATAAATAAGAAACAATATTTTTAGTGCAGACAAACCATTTGTGGTTTTTGCACTTTTGTATACTATGTATTGGTAATTATTGTGTAAATAAATTTCTTGATTGATTGATTGATGTTAACGTGCACAAAACCTATTATAAAAGAAAAAATAAAGTTGGTCCGATAAGAAATTTCAAAATGGTGGCAGTTTTAATGCTTATAACTTGGACAACTCAAAATTCCAGAATATATTTTTTTAATTTTTGATTCCCTATCAATCGTCACCAAGATCAAAAAGATCGGACAGCAAATAACTGAAATAGAAAGATGTTGTTGTTGTAAGGTAAGGCTAAATTAAGTAACACCCCTGAACTAACATTGCTTATTTTTACATAAAAAAACGTTCTATTTCAATTATTTGCTGCTGGATCTATTTGATCTTGGTTTTGTTTGATAGGTAATTGAAAATTAAAAAAAAGGTTCTTGAATTTGTTTAATAAGACTATACGTTTTCGAGTGATTTAGGTTATAAAATTTAAAACGGCCGCCATTTTGAAATTTTTAATCTGACCAAATCGAGCTTTTCTTTCATAATATGTCTTGTGTACTTTAACATGCTTACTAAGTTTCATAAATATCGGTTGAAAAACTTCAAAGATAAAAATAGTTTTCTATAAAGAACAAAATGGTGTTTATCTAGGTAAATATGCATTTTCTGACATACCTACACATACAGATTTTTCTTTCTTTAAACAATGAGGATTCATATCCCAAAGTCCCGAAACCTTTTTTTTTATGGACACCCTGTATATCTGTAAAAAAAGTGTTTTGGTCAATGTATATTAAATAACTTTCTAAATGTATGAAATTTAATCAAGAAATTTATAGACAGTATAACATATATTGAAACAGCATAACTCTAATATAGAAAACAAACTTTTAACAACCATATTTCACCCTTAGCTGTGTACTTTAGAGTCTTATTTATGTACAAAACTTACCACCTATATTCTATTATTAACAATTGCAACTTAAGTAGACATCGTAAACGCAGATGATGCTGCTAAATTTCGTACCGATAAGAATTTCATGCAATTTATTTTTTGAAATTGATATATTTGATCACACTTACAGAAACATAAACCATGTATAAAAATTATATAGGATAGCCTGCAAAAAAAAAACAAAAAAAAACAGACATTTAAGATATCTATCACCAATATCCACAATCATTTTTTCTAAGCACACTTAATCTAACAGCGTTATGTACACGATTCTTCGGCCTCTCTATTTTACATAGTCAACTCAAAGGCACAAATAGGAGAGTTTGTCTTAACCATACAATAAAATTTACACTTTTATATTTTACATGAATGACACAATTTATTTCTGTTACAAATATTTTAAAAAGTGGTTTATGCAAGATACGATTAATTTTCTACAAAGAAACGTTGTTTAAATAGCGGCATACAGTACAGCTAAAAGAGAGTAAGGTACAAACAACATTAACCATAGTGTTTTTAAGGTAAATTTGTTATAAAGTACCCACTTTGGAGATTATCTAATTGTACATTGGTACAATGGGTTGAATAAAATAGTACTTTTTATTCAAAACGCATAACAAATTATTTTTTTTTGCCTGTGTAAACATAATCAATTATTAGCCATAAGAAAGGATAGTTTTGAGCTATATAAAAATCAAAGTCATAAAACGTGCAATTTTGGTCCTCGTGTATGCGTTAAGTTTTCAAACATAATTTTATAAAATTTAGGAACATTGATAGTTGTATTTTAAAACTACATTATATACAAGTTATAAAAATTCACTAAACAAATGACTTCGAAGTGATAAACTGCTTGATGATATTCAATAGAAGGATCCGAAGAACAGCGTGAGCAAAGCTATAAATACCAGGGGTGAGTCCGTCCATCCAACAGTTCTGTGCATATCTGGAAGAAAAATAAAACACATGAAGAAAATTCATTGTATTGATACAGTTTACCAAACTAGAAAATACATTTACCTATAAATTCCTTTCCTCAAACGATTTTAAAACGAATCCTCACTGATTTGAGAAAGCAAAGTGGCCAATTCACTCATCAGTGAGACAATTTTAACATTGTCTCACTCTAATTACTTTGTCTCACTCACTCCGGATTTGCAACGTGAAAGCACGAAATAGTGAGCGCGTAACATGCAGACAAGATCGTATGCGCGCGAAATACATTGGCAGCACTGGCTGTAAATCAGCTGGTCAGCTGTTGTACTGTTGTATCATTAAATGTAATATTAAAAGTTCACTTCTGTGTAAAAATATGTCACGTTTCTTTACCTATTTATTTGTTTATGGTAACTGTAGAAAAAATATAATGTGCAACTCGAGTGCAAAGTTCAATTGCTCACTAGTTGCACAAATAACAATTCCTTATCAGTTTTTATATTTTGGGTGAAACCAATTCATAGTCCGTCACCGTTTTTTGTTGGGTAACTAAGAACAAACCCATACAAACACTTATTTCAACAGGAAAAAAGTATCCACTTCCGGTGCAAAAGTACATAACTGTGTTTTTATTATGAAACAGTAATTTTTGGATACGCTTACTAATAATATTGTTTACTTTAAATCAAAATTACTATTAGTTTATACTTCTACTTGTACACTTTGTAATAATGTTAAGAAAATACCTTTTACGTACTTTTTGTTAAGTTCAAGCTACAACACATTGGACTATTGACTGTAATAAACTTGTGTACAATAAACATGAGGAAAGATACTCAAAAGAACGCAAAATCATCAGAAAGAGTGCTTTTGGACGTTACGGAGATATTAATAAGTCAGTCCACTTATATATTTATAAAGGGGCGCCATTCCATCTGGGTAGGGACTATATAGCTGCAGCGAGAACTCTTAAATATTTCATCAGATATAAACAGTGAGGGTAGACTCGTCTCTCAGGACAAGTCCAATAGTCTCGGCAGGTGGTTCGCTTCTATAGTGTTTCCCAAAACTTATTAACCATTGTTTGGCAAAGGCAAACCTGTTTATTATTCTTAAAATATGTATATAATAACAATATTTTTTTTAAAGAGTTATAAATTAAATTTGTACGTTTAACGTCTTCAATGTCATTATTGTGTATTTGCCTACCATTTTGGGAAAGCCTATTCCTCCATTCTAATAATAACTATAATATTTCTTGATGACCGGGGATGATTTTAGAATTTGCAACAGGGATCAATGTAATTAAAGAATTATGATACAAGAAATTCATGAGATATTTTAAATAGTCCAATGATTGATATAATTTCAATAAGTCCTATGATAAAAACGCATTTAACTCAATAGCTAGGTTGGTAAAGTCTTTTTATAAACCTTTAATATGTTTAAAGCTAATTCTTATTTTTAACTTATTTACTTATACAACTGTTTAAAAAGATAGTTATATATTATATTCCGTGTAAAGCAGGATACAAGCAGTTTTGTCGGTCAATAACTTTATCATTGGATTTATACTTACTACCACAGATTAGGGTCCCTACATTACTGAAACTACATTTGAACGATTTAATTTGTACATATTAGTCGTTATTGTCCAGCTGAATTTAATTTCAGGCTGTTCTCACTGTTTGTATTTTGTTTATGGGGAACAATGTGTAAGGCAAAATCAAATCAAGCAAAAATTATATATGTATGTACTTAAGATAACCGAAGTTAACATAGCAAAGAATATGTTATTCTGAGTGGGTTATTCTTAAGATTGTTATTTACATCAGATTAAGTTGGACCAAGCTCAAATTATAAGTTGTTTGTTTGTACACTTATAAACATAAATAAACACACAAAAAACATAATTAGGGTCCAAACTACAGTATATTGTCTCGATTAATGTTCTAACATTTGAACGCAATATTCGAAAGGAAGCTAGTAGATATAGAATGTAATGAGTAGTGCAGTGCAGAAAAGGTGAGGCAGTGCACAGAATACACCGTGCAAACTATGCAAAGTGCAGAAGATAGCTCTGAGAAATTATCCTCCCAACCCTAATGATGATAATGTATTAAAGCTGAAATGAATTTAAAATTGCGAAATTACTGTTGAGGTTTACAAAGTGATTATAATAGTATCCTAATGGCTTTTCTCCATTTGAAAGGAGAAGCATTACTAGTAAATATAACCTATCAAAATAAGTAAAACCAGAGGGTTAATTCGTTATGATCTGTGTTGCATGATATTTTTCTTCTTCATACACGCGAAGTGAACAATTGATTCTCTACAGTTATGTAATAAATAATATTATGAATTCAAAATCGAAGGACTCGTTTGAATAACGTACTAGACGTATAAGAGGGAATGTAAAATACATGTAAATACGGTGTAACAGTCTTACAGTCTCTAAAATGCAACGATAACAGGCTGATAATAATGGCTACCAACAGCTTTAGTAAGCTCTACACCTACTTGAACGTCATGGTCAAATCGATTAATCCTTATTACTTTAAGAAACGTGAACAAGTATATTATTCTTTTATTGGTACTTAAACCCTTAAAATATTTTTGAAGTTTGGGTTGAGAAAATATTTCTCGGAGTTATTGTGCAGAGTGCCGTGGACTGTGCATTGTGCAGGGTGTTAAGTGCACATGCCACACCGAATACCTGCACAAGAGGGGTCCGAGAGGGAAGGGTTCATGGGAGTGGACTGCATCAGAAGGTTGCTGTTGTTGCGACTGCCGAGTCTCCCTGTACATACGTGGCTTTATAAAGTTACTTATTTACGAATAGTTTAGCATAGATAAATATAATAAAATATAAACCGACAGCAGTGCTGCGGTTAGCATAAAGTTCTAGTGTCCACCACTGGGAGCGCCGTAGTTATGGCACACGCGCTACGTAACTACACGGCACTGCTAGCGATGGGCGCCAGAACTTGTGCTAACCGCAACACTGCTGTTAGTCTATATTTAATTTTATTTGTCTATGACAAAAGGATAAAAATAGAGATTCAATAATTAAATTATTCGGCTGTAGACAAAGCTTTCTACAATCAGCTAATGTGTTACTAATTTAATTTTTAGAACTAGTTTTAGAGAATATTTCTTACGTCTTTAGTAACTAATAACTTTAGTAACTACCTGCACATAAGTGGCTTTCTCGAGTTACTGTTGCATTAAGTCTACTTTTAAACGGACTTGATATTTAGTTAGTAACTAGGTGCACCTTTTAAATGCCAGTGATAGTTTCAGTCAATTTGGTTCGTCCATTTAGTTTGGAACTAAATTAAGTTAAATAATATTCAATGCAGAGGAGTAAACCATAAAATGGTTGAATACTGCAGTTCAAACGCTGAACTAGAATGTAGGATTTTACAGCCTAATTATACTGTAATATTTGTCATCGGGGTAAATACTTTGCGGTACTTAAAAAAGTTTACCTTTTGATTTTTTTTCAGCAATTGATCCTATTACCAAGTTCTAATTCAACTTCAGTTGTAGATTAAGTTTAAGTAATTATTGCATCCTCCAGAAATTGAGTGCTGTACACATCCAAAACGTAGCGTTGCTTCGGTCTAGTATTTATGTCAGTTTGAAAATGTGGCTTTCCTGGAGACTTAGATATGTTTGATAAGGTAATGAATGGTACATGTAAAAGAGTTATAGGTACATTTATCAGTTACGAAGGGAGAACAGTTTTTTTACATGAAAAGTTTCGTGTTAATTTACTTGAAATTTCAACGTTGCCATAAGTATATTATTTATTCCATATTATATAAGAAATTACGACAACGTGTTGGTGGCAATCCAAAACACTGAAAGTATATAAGAAATAGCTTAGAATAGCCTAATAAAACAGCTTTTTTGTCGTTCTTTTGTCTTTAAAATAGTTTTATTTCTTTAGTTTTAAAATTTAAGCAGCCCTATTTTATAAGTTGAATATTTTATTGAGTTTTTGATAGAACAAAAATTGTTCAAAGGCTCGTGGTTAAATTGTAGGTGTTATCATAAACATTACAAATGAAATCTGTAGTTAATGAATCTAACGTCGCTTACTATTATACAAGTTGGTAGTATTTACTCGAAAAGTAACAATAAATCTAAACATTAATATCCATACTATGTTCACTCTATGACCTATCGATTCAAAGCTAACACAAGTTTATTACAACAGCAACTTTTATTAATTTCGAAGGTGCGAACGTAAAAAGTCAATGCGAATACAAAAAAAACGTATTAAATTGTCTAACTTTAACCTTCCTTGGAGCATTGTCTTCGAATTGTCTTCGAACTGTCTTCGAACTGTCTTCGAACTCGTAACACAATTAAACAACTACAAATACAATTTATAATCTCACAGTATACTAGATATTTAAATAACAATTACTATGGTGTTTGAAACATATTTTGAGATGGTAAATAGCTCTTTAGCGGCTGTTTGAAACTAACAAAATTAACATTGCTCTTATGGCGGGCAAATCCAAGATGGCCGTTAGCTTCCATGGACTCCCTTGGAGAGTAATTAATTCAAAACCACAAAAACATTTATAATCTCACAGTATACTAGATATTTAAATTATTATCACTTTGGTGTTTGAAAAAATATTGTTGGACGATAAATAACTCTTCATCAGCTGTTTAAAATTATCAAGGATGACCGCTAGCCTACAAGGACTCTTAAGGCAAGGTTCGTAAAATTATATCACAGTAAAAAAAGGAAAATAGAATTTTCTAAGAATACATTAAATACGAGGTTTCTCGCTCAAAAGAAAAATGTTAACCCCATGTAAAACTTTAAATTCTAAGGAATAATCATCTATTTTGAAGCATAACGTTTGTTCTGGACAACAAGTAGCAAAATATAATGCCATTAGTTTTTCTGCACTTTGCTGGTACTATAACTCAACTACCCTCTCCCTTACACCGCAAGTCACTGTATGGGGAGGGAGTGATATATGACAGAAACTGCTCTTCCCTTGCAATCGCACTATGCATTACAAATGCTTGCCTGAATACTTTTACAAAGGTAAAAATAAAACATAAATAAAATATAACATCAAAAAAGTGTAAATAACAAACTTTAGCATGTTGAGTCAACCATTAACTGTGAGCTCATATGGTAAGAGTGTACAATAATACGAATTTATCAAGTTAAAGGTTAGGTTAGGTCCTTTGTATACAAATACAATAAGGCTAAAAGACTGCCACTGGTGGAATAACTTATTTATACGCGTTCCTTAGTCTAGTTATTTTTGTCCATCTTGGTTAGACTCTTATCGTACGTTATGCACGAGTCAAAACTTAATTATTCTAATGGGGTTGATTTACATTACAAAATTCAATGATAAAATCAGAAAGTTAAAAAAAAAGTAATTGTTGGGTAAAATCACTTGTTAGTAAATAAGGCAGAAAATACACCTAGCAAATTTCACACCTATTTGCCTAAATATAAAAATTCAAGATGTTCCCAAACATTTGTTTGATTCCAAGCAAGAACGTGACCAGACCTAGATGGCATTTGTTTGTCATTGGGCTATGAACGTAGGATGCTATCTAACAATATCTGAACTTTGGGTAGTAAAAATATCTTGAACTATTATCCTAGAAATTGCTAGATGCGTAGATAGAAAGTCGTGAAAGTCATAAGCTAATCTGAAAATAATCGCAAACAATCAATACGATTATTGTAGAACGCTGTAATAGGAATTAATCCATTGTTTATAGATGTTTACACTCTTAAAATCTGTGTGTATTTAATATGTATAATTAAATGCTTGATTTACCTTGTATTTATTTAATGGTTACGAAACGCAAGATGATAATGTGATAGACACTGGAGGATATTACTAGGATAGTTTATTTACTTATAAAATACACAGTCTAGTTTCACGAGGTAGCTGTAAAAGTAAGGAGAGAAGTACGGAAGAATTTAAGTCTGACCGAACGGCCATAAAAGTCAGAAAGGATATTAAGGAACCCCAAACACCGGCATGTATGGTTCTTAAATATACGAAGAGGAAATACCTCTCCCGCACAATATACTGTATTGCATCGCTATGAATACTTTAGTATTCGTGTTCTTTCGAATAAAACTTGATGCAGATCAATTCTAAAATTGTCTGGAACAACTATGAATAATGTAAGCACAAATTATTTTATGTGCTTAGAATATTTTATTTTAATTTTTCTTACATCATTTTCGTTAAACGAAATTGAATTTACTGTATCTAAGTGAAGGTATATTTTTGGAACATACGTTGATATTTTTTGTATTTATCATGAAATAAGTTATTTTGATGATATAAACATTGTTTGATTGTCTAAGTTGTTGTTTGATATACTCAAAGTTGAGGCATTTTCTATATTGAAACCAGGAAGATAAAAAACAATTCCTATAGTAAAATATTTATCACTCGCATTGGAATCAACTCTTTTATGATATAGAATGAATTATACGTAAAACAATAAATGAAATGAAGCTAATGAATACGTAAATAATACCTTTAGTAGATACCTGTATTGATACTGATGACAATATTTTATATCTAATATAATAGTGTTGGTCGATGTTTTTTTTATAAACACTGTATTTTACCTTCTTTCGTCGCTCCGCTGACGACTTTTGTGGCTTTTGGTGGAGATGAGGGCCTCGGGATCTCTGAAAATTTGCAAAAAATCTGTTAGATATCAGATTCAGTACATTCAATACATCGGATAATTAATTGTATCCTTTAGAAATTTCATTCGGGTAGACATAGTTAGAAAATATTGGTAATGTAGATACTTCAATCTACCATATAAGTCTTACAAATTCATCATAAAATTTAGAGACAACTCACCTATACCTTTATCAATATGTATAGCCTACGGGTTACCAATATACAACACAAGTGGTTTTAATTTTATGTAATCTAAATAGTTGCGGTAGCCGTGCAGGGCGTGTTTTATGTTTCGATGTTTTGTAACTTTTTCTGTAAACTGTGACGACTTTCTCAAGAAGCGACAATGTCCTCGTAAAGCCTGATGATGGTTCCAGTGTTGAACCGAAACTATTTGCTACCGCAACCATTTATACGCAACCACTTATATAGCTTATATAGCTATATTACTTATATAGCTTATATAGCTTCTATGTTGTAAGTGGCGTACAGCATACCCATACACAAAATAAGACCAGCATTAATTTAGATAAGAATCGTATGGTCTTCATTAGCCTATAACACGTATAAATAACTTTTTCCTACAGTTACCTAACAATGTACATGTTCTCTCACTGATTTGAGAAAGCAAAGTGGCCAATTTGCTCATCAGTGATCTCTCTAATTACTTTGTCTCACTCCAGATTTGCAACGTGAAGGCACGAAATAGTGAGCGCGTAACATGCAGGCAACGTAATATGCGCGCGAAAAACGTTGGCAGCACTGGCTGTAAATCAGCTGGTCAGCTGTTGTACTGTTTATTTGTAATTTAGATTAAATGGGGGGGGATTAAATGGGATTATATTAAAAGTTCACTTCTGTGTAAAAATAGGTTATGTTTCTTCACCAATTTATTTGTTTTATGGTAACTGTAGGAAAAGTATAATGTGCAACTCGAGTTCAACGTAGGCCTACTACAATTGCCTCACTCGAGAAACCATTCCTCACTCGCCTACGGCTCTTGAGTAAGGATTTCTCTCGAGTGAGTCAATTGCTCACTTTTCTCACTAGTTACACAAATAACTATACGTTCACAAATACACATAAGTCATACCGTATAGTCGTATGGAACCCTCTGTCTCCCCCAGGGAGTTTTTTGAGATGCATCTATAGTTGCCGTAGTCTCTCGGCTGAAGGTTGTGCACGGTCAGTTTCATCGTCGACCTGTAGCTATTCTCTGACGTCTCAGTGGTATACTTGGACGTTGGGAGAAGCATGACGTTTTGGTAGACCCAGTAGCTGATGGCTCGAGGGTAGGCTTCTGTGTAGCAGTCAATAGTGACGTTTGTATCAGCTGGAGCTCCTACCAGCTGATTTGGTACCCACACCATCGGCGAGACTGAAAGATAAATATATAAATATATTATGCTGGCAAATACATTTGGGTTAAACGAAATTGAGATAATCATGTGTCGTTAATACACTAACGCTATCCCAATGAGTGAAAAGTTTTTTTTCTGCTGAATATTCATCTAATATTAGTCGTATTCGGACAGACTGCGTGGTGCAAGAATTATTGTTGCCTAACTATTATATTCTTAATTATGGAAGTCAAATCAAAGTAAGTTTCTTTTTAGTACACAATTTCATAACTGTTCATTTACAATGTTTTTAACATTATTAAAAACATGTGATGAATTAGTGCAACATGTGGAGGTTGCACCAAATTTGAAAACCCTAAGGGTTTTAAAAGCAAATGAATTGTATGCGAGGAAGTTGGATTGTATAACGTTACAATAACTTCAATATCTGATAATTATCATTCAAATCGCATTTTAAAATTCCCTTTTATTTTTGTTATAGGTACATTTCACAAACCACACAAATAAATAATACAATTCTCAACATATTTAATTTGACTACTTTTGGTAGTGTACTAATTTGTAAATAGTTTATACAGGGTGTCTCAGACCACCCGGCCGGCTTGTATAGCTCCAATATGAAAGCAAATGGAAACCTAATTGCAACTGAAACCCCCTATTTTGACCTCAAGGAATTCAGCTAAATTATTTTCAACCCCAAAAAGCACCCCAAAGGGCAGATTTTGGGGGGTGGGGGTGGTTTTTGGGAAATTTTCAAATGTAAAGGGGGGTCGTGTTATACCTCTTTTTAAAGGTCCTTTAGTCCTGAGTATTTTAGTGGAAAAAGATTTAAATTATCTTCATCCCTATTTACAGGGTGTTCAAAAATATACAAAAAATAGACCTTTGAACTACTTTTCACTGTAAAGAGGTGGAATTTTGTGGGGGGTTCAAATTTTGATAACACTTTAATTGCTAAATGAGCTTTCAAAAAACTCTGGTTTCAACCCTTTTGCTATCTTTTTACTTATGTTACGCATTTTCAAACTTTTTGAAGTTTCAAAAGCTGTTATCTCAAAAATTTCAAATGGCAACATGGGTTTAATTACAAACCACATTGTAGCCCTTAAAATTTGCTATAATTTTTGTATTTAATGTTTTTTGCTATCTTCATTGGTTAAAGAGATATAACGAAATTAGTGTATTTTAATGGTTTATTAAATTGTATTCAAAGTGTTTACTGTTGCAAATGTACACCTCTAGGTCTCAATTAAAACAAATCTTGTCTAAAAAAATAAAATAGTACTCAGATTGTTGATCTTGGAAGATTGATAAAGGAAAGAACACAACTGCAAATGTTCTTAGTTATTTTACAATTCCATTGCTCTAATAGTTCTTTGAATGAATAATTTGTTTGAATCAGCATTAATAGCCTACATACCGATGGACTTCTACAAATGCTTAAATTGCCTTCCATTTTGTTCCATGCAAACCCCAACTTTGTTATGCATGTAGTACTTCTTCTCCACTATTATGGTACTGTATTGCTATTTTACTACCGCAGGTGCATTCACCTCTTGTACAAATCCAGTAAGTTCCTTATAATTTGTTTTATCTTATCAAACGTGACCAGTTTCATGCACACGCTCATTGATTTCATGATGATTTTTTTTATTTACCAGTAGCATTTATAGACAGTATTCATTCAAAGCACTATTAGAACTTTGTAATTGTAAAATAACTAAGAATATTTGCAGTTGTGTTTTTTCCTTTATTAATCGTCCAAGTTTAACAATCTGGGTAGTATTTAAATTTTTTAACATAATTAGTTTTAATTGAGACCTAGAAGTGTACATTTACAACAGCAAACACTTTGAATACCATTTAATAAAACATTAAAATACACTAATTTTGTTATATCTCTTTAACCAATGAAGATACCAAAAAACATTAAATACAAAAATTATAGCAAATTTCAAGGGCTACAATGGGGTTTGTAATGAAACCCATGTTGCCATTTGAAATTTTTGAGATAACAGCTTTTGAAACTTCTTAAAGTTTGAAAATGCGTAACATAAGTAAAAAGATAGCAAAAGGGTTAAAACCAGAGTTTTTTGAAAGCTCATTTATTAATTAAAGTGTTATCAAAATTTGAACCCCCCACAAAATTCCACCTCTTTACAGTGAAAAGTAGTTCAAAGGTCTATTTTTTCTACGTTTTTGAACACCCTGTAAATAGGGATGAAGATAATTTAAATATTTTTCCACTAAAATACTCAGGACAAAAGGACCTTTAAAAAGAGGTATAACAAGACCCCCCTTTTCATTTGAAAATTTCCTAAAAACCACCCCCACCCCCCAAAATCTGCCCTTTGGGGTGCTTTTTTGGAGTTGAAAATAATTTAGCTGAATTCCTTGGTGTCAAAATAGGGGGTTCCAGTTGCAATTAGGTTTCCATTTGCTTTCATATTGGAGCTATACAAGCCGGCCGGGTGGTCTGAGACACCCTGTATACTTGAAATATTATAATAATTTATCCAATGAGATTCGTTCCTTAAGTATGAGGGGAACAGTTACAGAGTTAAGCCGCACTTAGTAGCAGCCGGCGTTTGCTCAAGAGAGAAATGGGGCACGTTTTGCGTTTACTGAAAGCTCAAGAACATTCCTCGACTTCGTTATTTGTTTTATTGAAACGTTTATTATTAGAACAGCAGCATATATGGCCTGATTCTGCAACTTACATGTAAGATGTATGTTTTGGGATTAAAAAGGTATTTAATATATTGCCTAATCATCGATTAGAACTTTAATTTGAATGACCTAAAGTAGTAGTACAGTAGTTTTGTGTTTTTTTGCTAACACGTTGTTAAAATTACTTACTTTTTTATATTGCAAAACATTTGGCCAAATGGTAATATGAATGCCATTCAAATTTTATTACGCTTCTATTCAAGGTTAGTAATCACTCTAAATGTCATGAATAAAATTGAGTATTCATTTGAAATAGTGTGACGTAATTGGGATCAACAGGAGATATTTGTAAGAGATCACCAAACATCAATTTATTCACAAATTCAGCCAAACACTGAACTCTCAGACTCTCCAGGTATCCATAGATAGCCGGTCAATTTAAAATACATCAAAACAATTAAGAATAAACAAATGAGAAAAGCTGATTTGAATACCACAAATATTTTTCATCAAATTAAAATATCAACTTTGTTGGTCACTTGGTAAAATCCCTTGCCATTGAGACCATTTTTAAAGATGCATGGGCTATTAAAAACAACACCTAAATCGTGTAAGTTGGTTAAAAGCTTTAAGAGAAGTTATGTTCACAAAATTAACCCTCTTCAATCAATCATGTATAAATTTATATCATCAATGCGTGGTCGAAAAGTCATAAAATAACATACCTAAAAAAAAATTAGTAGAATTAGTTGAACACCTCCATACATCGCATGCGTACATTTAACATTTAACCTAGTTTTACTATCCATGCTTCAGTCTCAATAAGACGATTACTAAGAGCATCATATTAATTAAACATTTAAAACTGCTTTTAATCAAAATATTTAATCATTTGACCTTCCTATCTAGCCAAACTAGTTCAACATCACTTACATTCGACATCCACTATGATTCTCTTGCTGACGGATGGTGGCACGCCGTTAGTTGCTATACACAGATAGGCTCCCATCTCGTTCCTTGTGATTCTAGTTAGGTTGAGTTGCTCTCCGTCGTACACAGTCACTGTTACAACTCCTGGGAACACAGTTGTAGAACTTTGTATCACAACTGGCACTGTATGTTTGAGTTAATGGAACAAGTATGGATGAAAGTGATAGTTTATTTTTCCAATAATGTAACACATCGTTCGGATCGAATACTTAAGTGTGTATCTTTATTTTACTCTAACAATGATTAAATATCAAGTGTAGCTTATGTGGGTGGTTTTTATGCTTGTCTGGTAGTCACAACGTGATGGTTCAAACTTGAGAAACTTTTAGTCTTTAGTGTTTTAGACCATTGGGCCTTAAATAAATGGTAATTTTTTAAAGGGATAGCTTATCTACCAAAGAAATCTCCCTAATTTACTCATCGTACCTTTAAATTTTGGCTACAAAATGTCCAGTTTTACCCAGTTAACTAAATTGTTGAGACTATTAATTTGTTTTAGTATATTTCAGAGAAGTCTTTAAAGATCACCAATGTTTGATGTTTTTTTAGCTAGCTATTACTTAAGAAAAATTCCACGCCAAAGGTTTCCATTCGCATGTGTTTCCAAATTTTATCACTTAGATAAGATATAATAAGACGGAACACTAAAAGCCTATACTACATAGTGTACCTTTCTTCTTTCTATCAAGTGTGATGGGATTTCCATCTTCTCTTTTCCACATTATCTTCGGGGTGGGGAAACCTTCTGCTTTGCAGACCAAACTGATATTCTGGTTCTCCCTCACAGCTACAGCTGACGTTGAACTGTCCTCATCTATGATGTTGGGAGGCACTGAAAGGTTTGAAAAGGTTATTGATCCAAAACGAACATGCTTTTAAATCTCGAGTTCAAAATGAGTTCAAATTTGATACAGACATGGTCCACAAGCACCTTACATAACCTTAAAGGTGTAGTTGTGTTGATTGTGTGCATTATTATTTTGGAGAATAGTGTTAATAGGGTATAGTGTGGTGAAAATATCGTTGATACTAGGAAAAATAGCGAAATGGTTTTGCAATAGGTACGAAATATACTATATTTTACATAAACAAATCAAAACCTTTTCTAGTAGAATCTCAAGACAATTCAAAATGCAAAACACAGTTCTTATCTTTTCACAACGAATCGATTAAAATTACCCAAACCAATTTAACCTAGTCCATCCCAAAGTTCTCAAAGCATGTGAAACTATTACTACTATGAGATAATTAAATTACATATAGGTACACTTACCTACCACCTGAAGGTAGCCTACTTGGCTGATCATCGGGTTTGTGTTGACTTGACACATGTAGAAGCCTCTGTCTTCTTGCTGAACCCCCGTCACATGTAACAGCCAAGTCTTCTGACTGTCATGAGATACACTGAACCTGGGTACCCTGGATATGACGTGTCTGTGGATGGTGAGGATCATCTGACGATCGATGTGGATCCAGGCAACCTGTGAGATGGGGAATATTGATTATGCATCGAAAAAAGTGGAATAAGGTATGAATAATGATAATTTTAATAACATTAGTCCTAGTTTGAGCTGTATGTTAGGTGAATAAGGTAAAACTGAGTCTTTTGAGGGAGTAAGCAGGTAGAGAGCAGAGCTTCGGTAAATGATTAGTATAGCCTGTTTGGTGCAAAAGTCTGTCTACATAAAAATAATTTCTAGGGAAAGAATGAGTGAAATGTATGAAAAGTGGTGGATAAGTCGTTTGGGATGTTGATGTGATGATTCAGACGTCACGTGTTCGAAATCAGCTTAATGTAGTCAACATTGGTCTGATAATGATAGGTATACCGTACAGTTCTTTCTGATCACCGTTTGTACATATAGGTTTATGAGAAAGACACGTAGGTTATATAAAATGAACTAACATTTTAATTTTAATTTCAATAACTGCAATCTAATAGACAGAGTTGACGTAAAATTCGCTAGTTTCTGCAGGTATGTATTTATAAAGATTGATATACTGTAGTTCAATTCTAGTTATTTTCTAAGACACCAAAGTGAGGTGGATGATTAGGAAGGACGTCAGTCACTTACCAAATTACCCAATATATATGTAAATGAGTAAGTGATGAGACGTATGAGCACTTTAACGCGAGAGAGCACATTCTGCATATTACTTGGGATGATTTGTTGTGCTTCTATTACGTTGTGAATCTACAGTTTCTGTATTTTAGTAAAGTAATTGAAAGGCATTTTGAATTTTTTTACTAATCTAATGTATATTCTTGTTATTTGAAAGTCCATAGAGAAACTATCTCAGTTTTAAGAATTGAGTTGATTTCAAGTATTTATGCTATTGATATGTTTGTAAAAACTTCTTGCGAAATACATACAAAGAATAAGATCTAATAAAAGCGTTGAGAAAGAAAGGAAGCCATACAACACTAAAAAATATATGGGTTTGTATAAAAGTTTGTATAAAAAAAAATTTAATGTAACTGCATTTCATAATTATTAGTTAAGCCCATTGTCACAACTATATCCATAACCTCATTAAAATATGTTTTTATAGCTAAACCTCTGAAAAAATAATTTCTAAATTGTACTTATATGTAGGCGTTTGAAATCATGACTCTGTAGGAATATATTTTATATAAATCGCAAAGCAGAAGTTCAACAGAAGAACCCTTATGCTTTTCCGTTGATTTGCATTTTTATTGGTTGCTCTGTGTATCCTTTTATGTATCAAAGCGTAGTATTCTATGAACATTGTACTTTCGGGAATTGATATGTAATGTACTTGGAAGTTGTGTAAATTTAACCTTATTTATTCTTTATAATAAAATTAACTTATAACATACAACATAAACATAACGAAGTTTGGGTGTAATAATTGTATTACCTTAAAAGTGTAAAAGCCATTAAGCTAAACTTGCGTTTGTAAATAGTACTGGGATAACATGTATATATATATTATTGTTCTCCTCTTGAAAGGTCAACAAATGAAAAAATGTTTCTTTGTCACATAAAGAAAAACATACTGTGAAATAGTGTGGAAACAGACTTCGAATGGAATCCATAGTGTAAAAAAGATATACTAAAGTGTTATTCCTGTCATTTTTAAGGTTTATCGTGAAATCAGAATGCAAATCCAAAATACTGATGGATTTAAATAACAAAAATAATTTAAATTTATATAATAAAAGGGGAACTGATTGAAGTGGTTGAGCTGTGATAATTTAATCCTAGCAAAACAAATTGCGTTAGTATCTATGTGCTAAATGATATAGATTGGTGAGACTTAGTGTCTTTTGAGGTCTGAAAGGAAACATAATTACTATAGCATATTCAACAAAACATTTTGTATCAGTCAGGACGCTTTTGTTTGTAAACGTTTAAGAATTACAATTTAAGTTTCACCTTTGTTCGTAAGTTATGTAAAGCAAATAGGCCTAAGAAGCTGCAAATTTATGACTGCGTGAGACATAACTGCCTAAGGTTTGGGAGGTGTTATATACTTCGTCATATGTGCTCGCAAATATAATTATTTTACATAAAATATATAGCTCTCTAGAAGTGTTAAATATTCTTAACTAACTAAATACCAATAAAAAGTTTATGTTTGAATGAATAAATCAATCATCAGTACAACAACTGTTAAGGTACTGTTTTTTTATTTATTTTTATTTTGCGATTACTTAATTAGTTAGTTTTTGTACTATCTAACAAAATAAAAAGTGAAAAGAGTAATCTTATATACTAAAAAACGTTTGAAAAACTTATGACAGCTAGCCTGATCATAGTACTGGACCGAATTACACGTAGTTGGTACCAAATGAAAGATATTTACCGGTAGATGTGACGAATACAATTATAAATTGAATTAGGCTCACAAATAAACACGAAAAATTAATTTGAAATCTTTAAAAAAATTACATGGGTCTTATGGGTTGCCATGGTGATGACGAAATAACAACAAAATATAAACAGAACATCAAAACAGATGGAAGATCAATCACATGTTTTATTTACAGTGTGTGTGGGGAAAATAGAGAAGTCTGTACATTACATATTTTTTGTTGGGTTTTCAACCACGGAGCGACCTCTAGGAACATATTATATAAAAATAATTATGGAGACTTTTCTTCTGGAGATTTAACATGGGGAAAAATTGTAAAGCTTACGACAGCTAGCCTGACCATACTACTGGACCGATTTACACGCGCTTTGTACCAAAAGAAGGTCACGGAAGAAATTCTAATTGCATGTTTTATTTACAGCGTGGGGATAAATAGAGAAGTTTGCACAATACATACTTTTGGTCAAGTTTTTGACCACGGGGTGAGCTCTTGTTACAATACTAAAACACACTTACTAATACCATTTTTAATCCTTGCTCATGGAGTAAAAACGTTGTGTATGTTTTTTTCTTTTATTTAGTTTTTTTTCATCCGTAATATTTTGTTGGCGTGCATCTTAAAATAGCTACATATACAATTAAACATAGCTGTAAAATATATCCTAGGAAGCAAAATCTTTAAATCGAAAGGTAAGTCTGTAAAGGTTTATTAATTATTGCTGGCTAATAGGTGGAATAATATCAATATAAACTATTTTGATATCTATGATGAATATCACATTTAAATTGAGATGTCACCTTACCTTGTACGTTCCGAGGTTTTCCACAACACAAGGAAGTGACGCATCTCTTCCCACTGGTACTGTCACGTTAGGTATAGGCTCGAGAAACTTTGGCTCATCGGAAAGTACTGAAACACAAAATAGTTTATTAAAAAATACTCTGAGTCAAAGTTAGCACAATTAAATTAACAGGCTGACACAATTATTAACAGGCCAGGTACACTGGTCTAACTTATAGTAGCCTAGTTAAAATACTAGCAATAATGTTTAGGTTACTTTGTTAACTAATATAATTAACTATAGTCAATGTTAATATACACCCTGTTGTACCTGGTTAAATATTGATCGTTAATATTAAATCATTAAGTGAAAACAACATTTATTGTGTCTACAGTTTTAAATTTATCAGGCAATTTACTCTACATATTTATTCCCGGGATAGTTTATAGTTTACATACTATCAATTAAATAATTGAAGAAACTTTGGAATAGTTAAAACAAATCTACAGTGATTTGATTATATATGAATATAATTTTATTCATATAAAAAGACAAAAATGTGATTTGTGCTGTTGTTGGATCGTGATATTGTGCAATACTAAGGGATGTGCTGAGACATAGAAGATATGTTGTGTCGTCACTTCCGGCGCCGTCGTACGTCAGATAGCTGAGACGAACTTCCGCCGGAAACATTAGTGACTTCGCACCTTGCTTCTCTTCACTACATTTATCTTTGTCTTGTATTTCTTTTCTTGTTTTTGTGTTGTTGCATAGAAAAGCAATAAATAATATTTAGATGAATAGATATAGACTAGGTATACAGGAACGGTTTTTAATCCTTATTTTAATTTTTTCCTTAAGAGCACAGGCCTTTCAAGTATATGACGTAAAGCTCGATAGGTTTTTTAATTGGCTTAAGTCCATGGAAAGAGTTTGAAAGCTAAATTGCATGAATTTGAGTTTTTAAGTTTTTGCTCTGATGGATGTTATTTTTCAGATTAATATCGTGTATTTTACGTTAACCTTACTTATGTTCGTGAAATTATGCTGCGGGAATGGTTTTAAAAGTGTAAACTAATAAAAAAATTTAAAATGTAAGTAACATTATTACTCTAGTGGTTTGTGTAGCATTTTAAAACATTAATTTCTGTTCATTATCTCCTCCAGTTGATATCACTATTTTCATAATGTTTTTCACGATATGGCAATGCAACGGTAAGGCAAATAGTATCGTATGAAATTAAATGAAACATATCCACATTAACAGTAGTTTTTAGGCTTCTAAAATGTTGTTTGTGATTTAACTCGATAAATATGTTGGTATGATGGAGGCACGATCGGGTAATCTTATTAATTTTTTTTACCATTAATGGAACAATGTCACTTAAAATTACGCAGATAATACAAATAATACTGCGAGAGTATATTAGTGATAGGTTTATTAAAATGAAATGGTTAGGTTCCCCTTTAGTCTACTAAACATAACGTTTGAAGTATGTACTGTATAGTCAATTCTTACACTAAAACAAATTCACCTTATAAATTTCCTATTAATTGAGTGAAATAAATACTTTCTTTCCAATTTGTTTTGATTTATTACCTTTTGACAAGATAATTGTACATTAAAGTATACCATCTTTTAATCCTAACATAAAACTATCTCTAGCCTAGTTTTACTAGATGATGAAGGTAATATTTAAAGTATTTAAACACTTAATTTATCTTGTAAGTAGAATTTTTCACCAAAGTAAAATTTTTCATTTGCCATTTGAAGCAACAAACAAATGAAAAATTTTAACAAAAAATAGTACAGCTTGTATGTCAAAATGCTATAATTATTCAGTGCCGAAGGATTCATTTATGCCTCTTGAGTAATTGTGCAATACAATCCAACTACAATTAACTGATACAAGGATTTAAAAATTATCGTATTGTGGCATTGTTATATAAAACTCGTATTAAAATATGATTCTGTTTATCATAGAGCAATGTAAATAGTTTGGTTTCTCAATTGAATAAGATCAAATAAACAATAAAATACTGTGAGCCTATATACCAGCGGGGTTGAGTAGTTAATAAATGATACTTGATTTAGGTAAGTCTTAATTAATGAAGTTGAAAATAAGTTAAAATATTAGGATGACATGAAAAAATATATTTTTTTATTACTTGGCAAATTGTTATTTAAATTTTAATGACGTTTAAAGAAGCTGTTTAAGCAGTTCCGGTGACTCAAGATAGCGCTGCGAACTTCCGCCGGAAACATTAAACGCTGTCTGATGGCCGTGCCTTCTCAATCTGTTCACTTTATAATTTTATTTAAGACCTGTTCTTCATTTATGTTTACCTTGAATATGGAGTACATGCAACGTACACAGGTATATATTTTTGCCGATTTATGAGTGAAACTACTTTAGGCACCTGTGTATTTGCACGCAATTATCTCGTGAAATTGTTATTGTTGGTGTACTATTTGATGGAAACATCAATAAATAAAGAATATGGAAAAGTCAAAACGAGACTCTAATGGTTCGTACAAAAAAAACTAAAACTACGTTAGCCTAGTATATGTGTACAAAATGAAAAAAGGATAATTTGTTTGATTTATTGTTAAATAAATAAAAAGTACCTATCGTTATTAATAAAAAAAAAATGATTCAAACATATATAGGTTAGAAGAAATAAAATGCAACGTATTTGTCAAAATCCAATGCACGTAGCATAATTTCAGACTATCACTGGATTATTACTTCTTAAATATATTTTTTTAATATTCTCTAGTATTTCGGAGTATTATTTGCAAGTAATTGTATAAAAAAATGAGTTTTGGTTGAATGGAAAAATTACGAAACCACATTCATTATGGTGTAATTAATTTTGACAATGCATAACAATCAACAAATGTTTTTTATACTAAACATGGGGAGAGAATACACGTTATAAAAAGATGATTCAGTAGTTTTATGTTAAATATCCAATGTTAATTTAGACCTCTACTAATTTATAAATTTAAAATATAATTTATAATCAGATTCATAAAGCGCTTTATAAAAGACTGTTATTAAATAAAAAAATACTTTCCTTACTTTGTATTTGGAATATGCTGAAAACGCTTTAAACCCACAACAGGTAAATTACAAAGTGCAAGATTAAATTATAACGCTATCATATTTTCGTTGCCGCTGAAATTAACTGCCTTGGAACAATATAATTGCTTTTATCTTTCAAAGGCTCTCATCTTGTATTACATTAAAATACGAAAAAAATCTTTAAAACGTAAGCTTGGCTTCCTTTTAAATCTCGCGATATATTGGGAGTAATACATGTATGAATGTTTCTTTTTGCATTATTTTAATGACAACAATTTTAAATAGTACATTTTATTAAGATTAACGAATCAGAATAATAAACTTAGATATCTTGAGAACAATAATTAATTAGTCATAGATATTTTTGAAATCTTTTAATATTGACATATCACTCTACCATTAGGATAAGGTATCATAATTATATTTTCAAATTGTTTATCATTACAACTTTTTTTTATTTGTTATTTTTTACATTTTAATATTTTAATTAAAAGAAGACTTGCGTATGCTTAATAATGTATACAGGGTGGTAAAAAAGTCCCTGGACAGTTGAATATTGAAAAAAAATGCAGATAGAGCTATAATACTTGGTACAAAGTTACAGGGCATAAAACTCTATTTTAACACATATTCAGTGATCCAATAACCCTTCAGGGGGACGGCCCACAAGGAGTCAGAAGAAAATCTTAAACGGAAGCATAGGTCAATATGCACATCAAATTAAAGGTCTTTTTTTGTAGAATACAATGCTGCAAATTGCACTTCAAAAGGTTGATCCTGCGCAAAATGACAGTTGTTCAAAGATTCATTTAATTTACATTGCTATTATACGCTTACTCCTCAGGGGCACAGCCCTAAGAATCGGAAGAATATTGTTAACGTAAGCATAGGTCGATATGCACATCAAATTAAAGGTCTTCACTAGTAGATTACGATGCCGTAAATTCAAGCTCAAAAGAATGCCTGAGTAAAAAATGGCAGTCGTTCAAAGATTCAAAATGGCGGATTCAAGAAATCTTTGAACATCTGCCATTTTGCGCAGGATCAACCTTTTGAAGTGCGGTTTGCGGCATTGTATTCTACAAAAAAAGACCTTTAATTTGATGTGCATATTGACCTATGCTTCCGTTTAAGATTTTCTTCTGACTCCTTGTGGGCCGTCCCCCTGAAGGGTTATTGGATCACTGAATATGTGTTAAAATAGAGTTTTATGCCCTGTAACTTTGTACTAAGTATTATAGCTCTATCTGCATTATTTTTTAAAATATTCAACTGTCCAGGGACTTTTTTACCACCCTGTATATCTAAATGAGTTAGATTCTAACCCATATTATTATAGGTGTAGAAATGGTTTAATCTGTAATGGTAGATGACTGTGTATTTTTTAGCCAATATAAACATTAAAGTGTCATAACGTAGGCTACAAAATACAAGAAAATTCGCTCTAGCCCTCTTGTATCGCCGACTTCCTAATTCCCTCGTAGTCTTGTAGAGTTGTGGCTCCATAAAACACAACATAAACTCGCGCCGTTAACTCTGGCTGCAAACATACTGTGGTGTAATTTGATATTTAACACTGTACATTGTGTTTTAGTTTATTTCAAAAATGTTCTCCTAACCTTAAATGATTAAGTTTTTAACTGAAGGTTATATTTCTTACTTAATTACCCTTATTTAACACCTAGCACGTTTTTTGTACTTATAGACGATTTTTAATTTCTCCATTAATTTAAAACTATTGGTGAATCGAGCTCTTTATATGTATTTGTATAAATAGATTTGCTTGTTTATGCATTAATATAATGTTTCCGTTGAATGTTCCTTTGTAAATACCTATATTACGTTATGTTTTTATCGGTCACGGTAAGTGGATATAAAAATAAGAGTTATTTCATAATTAGATTTCTTTATTTTAATAATCGTGTAATTAAATATTGTGTAGTTAGTTATATTTTGTTATGATTAGAAGTTTAACAAACATAAACAGTTATTAATGACCATACAAGCCTTTTTGAGGCTTACTGTGAAATATTTTACCA